ACACACCGTGAACACACACCCAGAGCAGTGGGCAGTAATTTTTACTGCGGCGCCCGGGGAGCAGTTGGGGGTTCAGTGCCTTGCTCAAGGGTCTCACCTCAGTCGTGGTATTGAGGGTGGAGAGAGTGCTGCTCATTCACTCCCTCCACCTACAATCCCTGCTGGTACCGAGACTCGAACCCGCAACTCTCTAACCATTAGGTCACGACTGCCCCTAATATTAATATTAATACAATTAGTAATATATATGTTTGTCAACTTATTTCATGTGCACTTGCACTTTGTTAAGGTTTGTTGTGTTAATATGTTTTTGTTATTTCTTTATGCATACATTTATGTAAAGTTTTTGTGTACTGTTTACCTTTTTATGTACAACATTATTTTCCTTTTAATTTCAACGAATTTATGATCTACTCAACTGATATATAATCATGAATAATTTACCTAAACAATAAATATATTTTAAGAAAACAAATGTAATATTATAAAGCATTATAGCATATGTAATTTCTTGTACTTTTGTATATTTCTTTTTCATTACTTTGTATACACTTACAGTATATATGAAATATTAAAATAAATGTAATATTTTAAAACATTATATATATATATACTGTATATAGTACAAGAAAAATTGTATGTATGTATGTGTGTGTGTGTGTGTGTGTGTGTGTGTATATATAAAATTCCTTGTACTTTTGTATATTTCTTATTTCTTTTTCATTATACGTTGTATACACTTATATATGAAATTTTTTTTTAGTTAAATAAATACATACCGCCCATTTTTATTAAAATATAATATTTTAAAACATTATATATATATATATACTGTATATAGTACAAGAAAAATTGTATGTATGTGTGTGTGTGTGTGTGTGTGTGTATATATATATAAAATTCCTTGTACTTTTGTATATTTCTTATTTCTTTTTCATTATACGTTGTATACACTTATATATGAAATTTTTTTTTAGTTAAATAAATACATACCGCCCATTTTCTCTTCAAGAGTCATACTACAGTGTACACATTATTCACCAGATTGTATCTTTGTGCATTGCAGACCAAACATCTACTGTCAGGTTAACAAATGTGAACTCTCTCTAACTTTCAGAGAACAAATATGCATCTCATCACCAGGAGTCCCGTCCGCTCCTGTACCCCCACGAGCATCCACCAGCACCCATTTCAAATCAGCTAAGCGGCTTAGCCTGCCCTAAAACGTGTCCTCTCAAGATAACAAAGACCTCGAATGAAAAGAGGGGGCACAAGGAAAGAAAACAATTAGCCGCTTGTGAGGCTGTGGGAGCCGCGCGGGGCCCGACAATGACTCGGCTCCGGTGCCATATGGTGGCTGCTCTCTGGATCCAGCTCTGCCTAATTAGTGACCCCTGTGTGATTTACTGGTAATTAGAGGGCTGAAGTCAGTGATTTGTTTTTTTTCTTTTGATTTGTGTATCTATCTTATTAAAGTCTTAAGCAGTGCAAGGTCACACACAAATGCCAGACAGCAACACATGCCATCTTAAACCAGCTTCTCGCCCACTGGCGGAGGGTCTTTTATTGATCGCACATAAGCCACAATCATGTGACCTTTTAATTGCAAAAACTTTGTTTTGATTGAACACAAAACAAGCCTTATCTTGAGTCAGTTGATGCGAACTCTTCTCTGATTGGTTTGTTTAAACTCAAACGATGAATAACCAGCAGACAGCATGTAGTCTGATGAGGAGATGATCTATGTGAACCAAGAATCCTCCTTAATACTCTGTTGGCATTAAACTGGTGTCTTAGTCCCCCTGACAAAGCCCTCTCTGTTGACCTAAACAAGTGTGTAAAAAGATTACGGCCCCTTGAGTGGATTGGGGTCTTCTTGGGGAGCAGATGGAGCCATTTGAACTCTGAACTGGAGACTTAAATTCAGTTCTATCGCCAAAAGGCCTTGAAACGTAGACATGTGTGAACAAGAATCCCAGGCTTTTTTGGACGCCTGTCTAGTTTGTGATTTGCATATTGTCATATTTGGTGTAAGTTAGGTGTGTCCTTGAGTGTGTTTGGCAGGTTTTTTCTTTAAAACTGGTCATATGTATTTAATTCTGTTACATAAAAGCGTATATTAGTCTACGTTGAATCCAAAAATTAAGACTGATTACCACTTGGCTAACAGCTAGTTGGTCAGACTAGTTCTTAACACAGAAGCAGTTTATGCAACTGGCCCCAGCAGTTCTGAACTCGAAGACTCAAGAGTTTCCCATCTCAGGGTAAGTCAACGCAGAGTTCAAGTTTTAGCTCAGAGTTGGTTGAACCTCCTTATTGAAACTGGGCCCGTACATACTATGTACTTATTATAGCAATTCCAATAACTGGGTAATAACTAGGTAGTTACCTTATTCTACAGTACTTTCTTAGGTAAGTACTCTGTAGGTACACATACGTAAGGGATAACGCACGGCTAGCTGTGCATTAAACGATTTTAATGTAGGCCAAGAACCACCTGACGCTGTTAATGATGTTTGCAGTGCAATATTTGACCGGAAGGGTAAAAAATTATGGTTATTTTCATCAGTGACGGCTCGTTAGCTCTAGCATTCTGCCCGCTTCAAATCAGACACAGAGATGAAATAGTGCGGTAAGACCACATTTATTTGAATGCCCCCTCACTTCTGAAATGATGGCTACGCCCCTGTGCATACCTGCCAGCCAATCAGAATCGAGTATTCAAACAGTCCATGGTATAAAATAAAGTGTAACCCTGTTTTGTGTGTGAATGAAGAATGTTTGATTATGGAATGGTGCGTAATAAAATGATTACCTGGTCCTCACGTGGTTTTCATTTCTTAAAGAAGAGATTTTATTTACATTACTGAGGGTAATATTAGTTCAGTGTTTTAGTGCTAATTAGTTCTGTGCTAATTTGTG